GGGGCGTAAGGGTTGGACGCCGCCGTAGCTGCATCTGGCCACCGCCAGACACTCCGCACCAAACAGCGCCACAGTGACTGCTACTACGGCCGCCACCACTCCCACTGCTGCCACCACCGCCGTCACCACTCCCACCAGTACGACAAAGTGAAGTCATGGCGGGCAAGCTAGGAGGAGCGCGACCTCTAGGGCAGTACGGAGTGAAGGCAGTAGCACGAGTAGCAGCAGCAGCAGTAAGAGAAGCAGGGCAGCGCGCGGCCAGAGCAGGGCGGCGTGCAGCCAGAGCAGGGCGGCGCGCGGCCAGAGCAGGGCGGCGCGCGACCAGAGCAGGGCAGTAGCAGGCAGCAGCTCCTAGGGCAAAAGCACCTAGGGCATTTTTTTTTGAATTATTATTATTATTTTAATTTTATTTAGGGTTTAGTAGGGCGCTGGCGCAGGGCAGGGTAGGGCGCTGGCGCAGGGCAGGGCGCTGGCGCAGGGGAGGGCACTGGCGCATGCTGCAACAGTGCGTGACGCGAGGGGCAGCAGATCGCGACACGACGGGCTGCCTTAGGGCACGACGCACGGGCTGCAGCAGAGCGCGACGCGCGGGGCACTAGCGCGCAGCTCGTGGGCTGCCGTAGGGTGCGACGCGCGGGGCTGCAGCGCGCGACGCGCGGGCTGCCGTACGGCGCGACGCGTAGGGCAGCAGCGCGTGCGTAGGGCAGGGCGCAGGCGCAGAGCAGGGCGCTGGCGCAGGGCAGGGCGCTGGCGCAGGGCAGGGCGCTGGCGCAGGGCAGGGCACTAGCGCAGGGCAGGGCGCTAGCGCAGGGCAGGGCGCTGGCGCAGGGCAGGGCGCTGGCACAGGGCAGGGCGCCAGCGGAGGGCAGGGTGCTGGCGCAGGGCAGGCCGCTAGCGCAGGGCAGGGAGCCAGCGCAGGGCAGGGCACTGGCCCAGGGCAGGGCGCTGGCATAGGGCAGGGCGCTGGCGCAGGGCAGGGCGCCGGCGCAGGGTAGGGCGCTGGCGCAGGGCAAGCCGATGGCGCAGGGCAGGGAGCCGGCACAGGGCAGGGCGCTGGCGCAGGGCAGGGCGCTGGTGCAGGGCAGGGCGTGCGCGAGGAAGCGCGACGCAAGGTAGTGGGGTAACGCGGTAACCGCAGTCCGAAGCTAAGTATGGTGGGCCCGGAAAAAAAAAAACGGTCCTACGGACCTACTGCTCGAAAACCATGTAAAATAGCAAGCAGGAATGATTGCATTGAATGAAATGTGGGTACAAGTACTAACCCTAACTTCGGGTTGTACCCCATATGAGCTACCCCACTATATGTCAGAATAGCAGGCAGAACGAGGAGCCATAGCTAGGGTTTAGCTAGCTAGGCAAGAGAAGATAAGCAAAGGAGGGGTTGCACTAGGAAGCAGGTGGATACATATAGGAAACCCTAAGGGGCCGTACTCACTATAGAGTACCCCACTCCAGGCTAGACAAACTACACATACTGACACACCCCCATAGTCAAAATGGGGTATGATCAGCACAACAAGCAGCAGTTTATAGTTCACAAGTAAAAGCAAAGCTAGAGGTTATCACGAAGGGCTAGTGAGGAGGAGGAGGGACTATGAGAGGAGATGAGGTAGTGGGCAGTGTTAGGGATACTAGGCAAGAATGAGTAGATTAGGTCAAGATGGGGGTACAAGGCTAGAGTGCCGAGAGAAATGTTGTACCCCCTAAAGCTAGCCCCAATACGGCCCAACTAACAATAAACATATAGTTTGACACACCCCCATAGGCGAAATGGGGGATAGCCAGAGCAAAGACAATGGTCACAAGACCAGTCAAGAGAAGAAACAAAGCACAGCTCAGGGTGGATCACAAAGTCACCACACACACTGAGCACAAGCAAGAGGCCACAAGGCCAGTTCACATGCAGAGTTATAAAAGCACAAGCAATACAATGATCACAACCTAGCAGGTGTAAGTATGCATGAATATATATAGATCACAGTACAGGCAAAGCCTACAACAAGTGAGGAAACGTAGGCACAAGGCCCAACAAGGTACAAAAGCGCTGATGATCACCAGGCGGAAGTGCCTTGGAGAATATATCAGCTGTGTTGGCCGGAGTGGCCACGTAAGCAAGACAAAGCTGACCACGCTGCTGCAACTCTCGAGCCAGGAAGTAACGCAGAGCGATGTGCTTCATTCTGTGCTCCAGTCTGTGCTCCAGACACAAGGCAATGGCGGCCTTGTTGTCGACGTACAACACTGGAGGAGAACGAGGCCGCTCTCCCAGGTCGGTCAGCAGGTAGGTGAGCCAGCATAACTCCTGTGCAGCCATGGCTGTGGCGTAGATCTCAGCCTCACAAATGGAGACGAGAACGGAAGACAAGCGTGTAGAACGCCAAGAAACAGAGCCAGAGCAAAGGCTGAAGGTAAAACCTTGTGACGACCGCTGCGTAGCCTGGTCGTCAACCCAAGAAGCGTCCGAGTGACCAGTGAGGACATCGTCGCCCCGCCCTCCAAGCATGAACCCCATGCCTGATGTACTGCACAAGTGGCGTAGTACCCTCTTTGCAGCATCCATGTGCACCTTTCGGTGTCGACCAGGAGCCACGTAGCGAGCCAGAAGGCCAAGAGGGTACGCAAGGTCAGGACGAGTGCAGGTCATCAGGTACATGAGGCAGCCAACTAACTCTCGGTAAGGACCACTCGGCTCTACGGACTCGTCCGAAGGTGGAGGTGAGAGCAAGTGACATGTAGCCAGAGGAGTGGCCTATGCTGAGGATCAGGTGAAGTCGAAGCGCTGAAGGACCTGCTGTACCATGTGTGATTGAGTCAGTGTGATGGTGCGCTGTGCTTTGTCCCGGGTGATCTGCAAGCCAAGGTAGCTGCGCAGCTCACCCAGGTCTGTGCACGTGTGTCTCTTCTGCAGCTCCGACTTCACGTGGGCGAGAGCCTCAGTATCAGCAGTGGCAAAGACCAAGTCGTCGACGTACACGAGGATGTAGAACGGCGGCAGCGAAGTGTCGGTGCGCAGAAACAGTGACGGGTCAGCAGTCGACGGAGCAAACCCAAGAGCCGCAAGTGTCGTCCTCAGTGTGTCGTGCCACCCACGCAGCGCCTGACGGAGACTCTAGACTGGCCGCTGGAGGCTCCACTGGGTACCAGGAGGGAACGACCCAGTGAAGCCAGGAGGGCGGCGCAGCCAGATCTCCTCGTGTAGGCTGCCCTATAAGAAAGCGGTGCTGAAGTCAAGAGAGTGAAGCTCGTAGTCATGCTGAGCAGCAACGTGTAGCAGCACCCGAAGAGTGGTCATCTTCGGGGTGCGGGAGAAGGTCTGGAAGAAGTCAACTCCCTCTCGCTGACTGAAACCTCGAGCAACGTAACAAGCCTTGAAGACAGGCGGAGAACCTGGCGGCCGCTTCACCATGAAAATCCACATGCCACTGACGATGTTCGCCCCAGGAGGGGGAACCTCGTCGACGTAGGTGCCTGTGGACTTCTAGGATGCCATCTCTGCGTCCATGGCTGTCTGCCACTGAGAGGAGTACTCACCCGCGATCACCTCAGTGTAAGAGCGCGGGGTCGGGATGTCTGGAGCATCCGGGTCTCCCTCATGGGCAAGTAGCATGGACACAAGATGAGGCGCAGCGACCGCAAGACACTCAAGGTTCTCCCGCCTGTCCTCAAGTACGTCCGTGCCAAGAGCACACTCACCCTCAAGGGACAGAGGACAGACAGACTCAGACTCAGCAACAAGACTAGCCGCGTAGTCTAGTCGACAAGCTCAGCTACTAGGGCAGACGCAGCAGTGGACTCAAACGACGGGTTAGTGACAACAGTGGCTAACAGACGTGTGACCGTAGGGTGCTCAGTACGAAACTGGTCAGACTCAGGGTCAGCAGCGACAGGCAGAGAGGACTCAAGAGGGGACGGCAAAGGAACACAAGGCGAAGAAGAGGAAAGACGACGGACTACAAGGTGGGTGGCTGGAACAGCCCGCTGACGCTGACGAGGAACACGACGACTAGAACGGACAGGCGAGATAGGACACGACGCAGGCTCACAACGCTCAGCAAGACCTCCTGACTGCTCAGTGTAAGGAGAAGGAGTAGGCAGGGGTGAGCCAGGCTGTAACGGAAGACCAGTAGACGACGGGAGGCTAAGAACCTGGCGTAGCACGGAGGCAGGCGGTGGCAGAGACGACGGAGACGGCGGAGCAAAGAATAGGCGTGGCTGCGCAGCGCCACCAGCACTAGCGGCTCCAACACCCTAAGCAGCTCCAGCACCCCCAGCAGCTCCTGTACCTCCAACAGCTCCAGCACCCTCAGTAGCTCTAGCACCCTCAGCAGCTCTAGTACCCTCAACAGCTCCAGCACCCTCAGCAGAAGCACCCCCAGAACCAGCACCCCCAGTCCCAGGGTCACCAGCCTCATTGTCTCCAGCAGCAGCACCCCTAGACCCAGGGTCTCCACCAGGAGTACCCTCAGGCTCAGCAGCACCTCCAGCCCCAGCAGCTCCAGTGCCTCCAGTACGAGCACCTCCGAGACTAGCACCACTTCCAGCTCCAGTGACGGCAAAAGAAGTATCTCTAGCAGCAGAGCCCCGAGCTCCAGAAGCGCGACCCTGACGGCGACCATACCAGTCGTGCAGCTGCTGTGAGGTGAGAGGTACACGCGCACGAAGACGGGTACTCCAAGGAGACCGCGGAGCAGCAATCTCAGCACCCCCAGACCCAGCACCCCCAGGCTCCGCACACGCAGACTCAGCACCCCCAGACTCCGCACCCCCAGGCTCCTCACGCGCAGGCTCCGCACCCCCAGGCTCAGCACCCCTAGGCTTAGCACCCCCAAGCTCCTCACGCTCACGCTTAGCACCCCCAGGCTCAGCACCCCCAGACACAGCACCCCGAGCAGGACCACCCCCAACAGGACTTGAGTCACCAGTGACCTCTACAGGCGCAGGCACGGGAGAGTCTACCTGAGAAACACCTTAAGGAGCTGGACCTGGCGCGGGGAGGGGGTCTACCTGGGGAGGACCTGGAGCTAGAAAAAGCGGCGGGGGGGGGCGAGGGGCAGTGCGGTAGGGAAAGAGACGGTAGAAAGGGACGGACTCATCAAAGGTGACATTCTGAGACGCAAAGACACGGCGCGTGGCTGGGTCGTAGAACTACCAGCCAGGCTCTTCAGGGACAAAGCCAAGGAAGACGCAAGGATTGGCGCGAGGGGAGAGCTTGTCTGCAGTGGTATCGCGAACAAAGGCACTGGCACCCCAGACGCGGAAACGCGACGCATCGCCAACCTCCCCCATCCAACGCAGTGTGGGCGACGTCTCTGGTACAGAGACTCGGGGCCAGAGGTTCGAGGGACCTCCATGACTAAGCCAATGCGGCACTCAGCAACCCCATTCTGCTGCGGAGAGGTCGGAAGCGTGAACGTCTGGCGGATGCCGTGCTCCGCACAGTAGGCTGCCAAGAGGTCTGAGGAGAACTCACCACCTCTCTCAGAGTGCAGACGTAGGACAGGAAAGTCCGACTGGAACCGCTCGCGGAGCTGGAGACGAACAGCGCGGATCCAAGGGATCAAAACATCAGGGACGTCCCCCTTGCGCTGCAAGGGGAAGACCGTGGTGTAACGCGTGTAGTCGTCGACGACCAGCAGGAAGTACCGCTCGTGGCCCTCTCCACGGACGCGGGCTGGGCCCCACACGTCCGAGTGGAGAGTCTGCAGTGGAGCCTCTGTGGGAGGGAACGAGGAGGAGTGAGGAGCGGCGCGCTGCTGTCCCTCGACGCAAGGAATGCAGGGCAGCACAGGCGAGGGAGGGAGGGCAGGCAGAGACCTGGGAAGGCCAGAGACCAGGAAGCGAGAGTGCATGCTCCGAAGGCAAGGTAGGGAGGGGTTACCAAGGCGGTGGTACCACAGGAGAGTGTCGTGCGACAGCCAACGACACTCACACTGGGTAGCTACTTGAGCAGACGCGTACAGCTGGGGAGACAAAGGGGTGTAGCGCGACGCATTGGTGAGGGTGTACAGACTGGACCCAGGCGCACGTGTGAACGTGGCCAGGTGGCGGCCTGTCCGGAAGCACGTGCAGATCACCACACGCTGTCCTCCAGGAGTAAAGGTGTCAACCTAGTGATCCTGAAGGACGGCGTTGCTCACCAGGTTCGTAGAGAACGAGGGGAGGTGGAGACCTGACAGCTCACCAGACGGGACCGCCGGACACGGAAGCACAGTGGTGGACCGTGCAAGCACTGGGCCCCTAGAGGGGTGAGCCAGTGAGACAGGGACAGGTCGACGAAGGGGAGTGACTGTGGTGCTGTCGCGAAAGAAACAGCGGGAAGCACCAGAGTCAAGTGTAAAGGTGTGCAAGGCCAGAGCGGACGCAGTACCAAAGAGAGCAGACTCACTAGCACCTAGGGGTGCAGGCGCTATACCTGGGTCTATACCGGGGTCTTGCGGCACACACAAGTAACAGTCACCCTCAGCACTAACAGTCAATGCATACATGGCAGCAAGGATTGCATCATAATCAAGATCAAAGATAAGTACATCACGCCTAAGCAGATCTGCCCAGTTGGGGAATTCAGCAGCATCAGGAAACTAAGCGCGCCAGGCGTCGCTGAGCCGAGCGAAGCACCGGTACTCAGTGTGAAAGTCGTTGCATGGGCGACCCTTATGGGGACCAGTGAGAATGACATAGGGGCAGCGACCACGACCCCCAGACGCCCCACGCCCGGCATACCAGTCATGGAGCTGCTGAGAAGAGGGGGTCTGGCGCTGCTGGTGCTGCTGCTGGCCACCACTGGAACCCCCCTTATGGCTGGTCCCACTCCCGCCCCCACCTCCACTGCCACCACCACTGCCTCCCCCCCCACTACCTCCGCTGCCACCTCCACCACTCCCGGTTCCACCACCGCCCCACGCACCTCCTCCACCCCCACGACCACCCCCACCACCGCCACCACCCCCGCCGCCTCCACCACCGCCACCACCCCTGCCACCCTTGCCGCCCCTGCCATTGCCGCGCTTCCCACTAGGAGCGGAAGCCGCTGCAACCTTCTTAGCACCGAGGAGGTCGACTGCAGCAGCAGCTGAGGCGTAGGAGGGGGCAAGAGGGGAGGGGGAGCACCCCTCAAAGAGGGGAGTGTGTGGAGTGCCACGGGCAGCACCTACAGCGAGGATGTTCTTCTCTGCTGCTAGGAGCTGCTGCTCGAAGTCAGTGATAGTGGTAGGGTCCTTGGCAAGGAAATGGTCCCTGACTGAGCTAAGAGTGTCAGGGAGGCGAGTGACAAGGATGTAGAGGGTACAGTACAGCGGTGGGGTGTTCGTGGCGAGGAACTCGTCGATAAGAGCGGCACGAAAGCGGGCGTCACTAGCGCGGAGGTGAGAGATGAGGTCCTCAGCGGTGGTAAACGAGGAAAGGTCGGGGAACGGGTAAGGCAGGATGAGGCGTCCTACGGCTACAGTGGCAGGGGAGGAATAGCGCGCAACTACAGCGTCATACAGTGCCTTAGCAGTCTTGTGCTGACTAAAATGCGTGCGCTCAGTGATCGGCAGGTGGTTACGGATAGCGAGGCGCCCAGCAGCATCGCGAGTCTGCCACTGTGAGCGGTCAAGAACAGGATCAGTGGCAGCAGGGGCAGTGGCAGTGCCTGACGCGTGATCGAACAGAGAAACGCCGTCTTCGGCATCCGTCATAAGAAACAGCTGCAGGTCGTCAAGCCAAGTGGCAAACTCTATCGGGCGACCGTCAGGCTCAAACGCGAGAACGTTAAGCGTCGCCATTACAGCAGCGTAGGCAAAGGCAGCAGACCATAGAAGCTATCAGGCTCACAAGTCAGGCTGGCGCAATGTAGGCAAGGCGCAAGGCAGGCAGGTAGGCCGGCAGGTGCAAGGCAGGAAGGTGCAAGGCAAGGCGGGTGCAAGGCAGGCAGGCAGGCCAGCAGGCAGGCCAGTAGGCAGGCAGGCAGGCCGGCAGGTGCAAGGCAGGAAGGTGCAAGGCAAGGCAGGCAAGCAGGCCGCAAGACTCAAGGCAGGCAGGCAGGCCAGTAGGCAGGCAGGCAGGCTTGCAGGTGCAAGGCAGGTAGCAAGTGCGCAGGGCGAGGCGGCAGCGTGCAGGCAGGGCAGAGCGCAGCAGCAACAGGCTGCGCGGGGCTGCAAGCTGCGCGCGGCTGCGGGCTGCTTGGGGTGACGTGCTGCGCGCGGCTGCAGGCTGCGCGCAGCGGCGGGCGGCGGGCTGCGCGTGGCAACGCGCTGCGCGCGGCTGTAGGCTGTGCGTGGCATCGGGCGGCAAGCTGCGGGCTGCACGCGGCTGCAGGCGACGAGCGGCTGAGGCGGGCAGCGCGACGCACTAAGCTGCAGCGGGCCGTTCGCGAGGTGCAGCAGTGGGGCGCGCTAAAAAAAAACAAAATTAACGGGCGCGCGCAGCCGAGGGGAGCGCGGGCAGCAGGTAAGGCTGTAGGGGCAGACAATGGTGGGCCCGAATCTCGGGTCCTAAGGACCTATTGCTCTAGTTACCATGTTAAGAATACTAGGCAAGAATGAGTAGATTAGATCAAGATGGGGGTACAAGGCTAGAGTGTCGAGAGAAATGCCGTACCCCCTAAAGCTAGCCCCAATACAGCCTAACTAACAATAAACATATAGTTTGACAAGCGCCAGCTGAAGCTGCTGGCACACGGCGCAACTGGAGCGACTGGCACACGGGCAACTGGAGCAACTAGCACACAGGCAACTGGAATAACTGGCTTCGCGACTAGACGAGCGGCAGGAGCAACTGACTCTCAGGCGACTGGAGCAACGGGCTCACGGGCGACTGGAGCGACGGGTGTCATACTCATATGCTATAGTATGTGTAGGCTGTAGTGGGGTAGACAATATGGGGTACAACACTTTTAGGCTTTCCTACTTGTACCCACCTGCTTGCTAGTTCATTTCATTCCTCAATTCTCACATGGTATAGAGCAGGTTCCCTAGTGGGAACTTCCTAGGGCCCACCACTGAAAATCAATTTTTTTTTTCTGCCCTGAGATCGAGTCGCCCCTAACCGAGGCGCGCCCTGTGTGCCGCCCTCCCCTTAGCGAACCGTCGCGCCGCCCTTAGCGGCCCCCTCTCTCACGGCCCCTCGCGACCCCGTCGCCGCCCCCTAGCGGCCCGTCGCGCCGCCCTGAACGGCCCGTCGCGCCGCCCTCAACGGCCCCTTGCAGCCCCACCTCCACGGCCCTGTTGCCGCCTCCCTCTCACGGCCCTGTCGCCGCCGTTCGCGGCCCCGGCGCCGCCCTTAGCGGCCGCGTCGCCGCCCGTCGCGGCCCTGCAGCCGCTCCTCACGGCCTCGTCGCCGCCCTCTCGCGGCCGCGTCGCCACCCTCTAGAGGCCCCAGTGCCGCCCTCTTGCGGCCTCGTCGCCGCCCTCTCACGGCCCCGTCGCCGCCCTCTTGCGGCCTCGTCGCCGCCCTCTCGCGGCCCTGTCGCGGCCCTCTTGCGGCCTCGTTGCCGCCCTCTCGCGGCCCCGTCGCCGCCCTCTTGCGGCCCCGTCGCCGCCCTCTTGCGGCCTCGTCGCCGCCCTCTTGCAGCCCCGTCGCCGTCCCGGCCCCTTCACCGCCGAGCCGCCGAGCAGCTGAGCCGCCGAGCCGCCAAGCAGCCGAGCCGCCGAGCCGCCGAGTCGCCTGCAGCCGAGCCGCCGAGCCACCGAGCAGCCGAGCCGCCGAGGCCGCCGTCGAGCCGCCACTGCCTCTGTCGAGCACCTGCCACCGCTGTGGCAGCCCTTTTTCTACCGGCGCGCCCCGGCCCTACCCACCCGGACTAGTGAGAGCACTCCCTGCTAGACCAATGCTGTCATGGCTACCCCCAGTGTCCTTACCTTTGATGCTAAGGGTCGTGCTGTTGACTTCGAGGTCTGGGTCGATGACCTGCAGCTTTTCCTACAGTGCGATACGGCAGACGGACTCTCCCTATTCGATCTCACCTCTGGTGCCTCTCCTGCCCGCCTGCTGATGCCGACAGCACTACTCGCTCACAGTGGGCCACGCGCGATGCTGCTGCCCGTCTTGCTGTGCGTCGCCACTTACCGATCGCTGAGCGTGCGCACTTTAGTCAGTACAAGAGTGCTAAGACCTTGTACGACGCTGTAGTTGCACGCTACTCTTCCCCTGCCACTGCTGCTCTTAGCTGCCTCATACTGCCGTACCTGTTTCCTGACCTCGCCGCCTTTCCCACTGTCGCTGACCTCGCTACGCACCTTCGCACTAGTGACACCCGCTGCCATGCTGCGCTTCCTGCTGAGTTCTACGCCAAGAACCCCCCCCCCCCCATGTACATCACCCTCTACTACATAGTCATCCGGCTCCCTGACTCCCTTTGCTCGGTCAGGGACCACTTCCTCTCTGTTTGCCCCACCACACTCACTGTTGACCTCCTCGAGGAGCGCCTCCTGGCAGTTGAGAAGAGTAAAGTCGCTGTAGGAGCCTCTACAGGTGACCCGCGTGCCCCTGTCTTTGAGGGGTGCTCCCCCTCCCCCCTTTTGCCCTCTGTTGCCTCTGCTGCTGCCGTCGACTTCATTGGCACTGATTCGGTCGGCGCTGCGTCTGCCCCTAGCGGGCGACGCTGCACCGGCAAGGGCAAGGGGGGCAAGGGCGCTGGAGGGGCTGGCGGGGGCAGTGGAGGTGGAGGTGGAGGAGGCGGAGAAAGTGGGGGTGGTGGTGGGAGTGGTGGCGGGGGTGGGGGCTTCGGTGGCGGCGGTGGCGGCAGAGGCGGCGGCGGCGGTGGCGGTGGGATCGGAGGAGGAGGCGGTGGCGGCGGTGGCGGAGGTGGCGGCGGAGGAGGCGGAGCAGCGGGGCGGCTTAGGTGGTGGTCAGCGCCAGCAGCAGCAGCGCACTCGTGAGACCCCGTCCCCCCAGCAGCTTCGTGAGTGGTACGCTGGGCGTCAGCGAGGTGGGGGTACTGGTCCCTGTACCTACGTCCTCCGTACCGGCGACCGCGCTGGTGAGCAATGCGGGGGCTCGCACTCCACCCAGCGCTGCTTCGGCCGCCAGACGAACGCTTGGCGTCACCAGTTCCCTGACGCCACTGAGATCCCTCACTGGGGAGAGCTGTCTAGGACGGGGGTTGCTATCTTTGATCTTGACTATGATGCTATTCTTGCTGCCATGTATGCTGTGTCTACTAGTGATGAGGGTGACTGTTACCTGTGTGTTCCGCCTGACCAGGGCATTGAGGCTGCTGCTCTAGGTGTTGGTAAGGCTGCTGCTCTAGGCGCTAGTGCGTCTGCTGCCCCAAATGCTGGTGAGTCTGCTCTCTCAGGTACCACGTCGGCTCAGGCCTTACACACCTTCACCCTTGACTCGGGTGCTTCCCGCTCCTTCTTTCGAGACCGCACCATGCTTACGCCGCTTAGTCGGCCGGTTGTGGTCTCCCTGGCGGACCCCTCTAGGGGTCCTGTCCTTGCTCGCTTCTCCACTGTCTTACCGTGTCCGGCAGCCCCCTCTGGCACCCTGGCCGGTCTTTACCTCCCCTCATTCTCTACGAACTTGGTGAGTGGTGCTGATCTACAAGATGGGGGGGTTGACCAGTTCACTTTTGCGAGTCAGCGGGTGACCCACTGTACGTGTGCTCGGACGGGCCGACATTGGGCCATGTTTACCCATCGGCTGGGGTCGAGCCTGTACACACTTACTACTGAGTCTTCTCCGGTTGTTGAGTCTGGTCAGGTAGCTGCGTCGAGTCAGAGTTTGCTGCAGCGTCCAGGTCTGGTCCTGAGTTTGCTCCCTGCTCGTGTCGTCTGCTGTCCCACCAGACTCTCCTTCGGCACCACCGCCTTGGTCACCCCTCCCTGCCTTGTCTCCGAGGCATGGCCTCCCGTGTCCTTGTCTCTGGTCTCCCCCGGTCCCTCCCTCCCCTCCCTCTGGGGCCTGCCCCTACGTGCGTTCCCTGCGTCGAGGGGCGGCAGCGCGCCGCCCCTCACTCCTCCGAGTTTCCTCCGACAGAGGCCCCGCTGCACACTCTTCACATGGACGTGTGGGGCCCCGCCCGCGTCCGTGGCCAGGGTCACGAGCGTTACTTCCTGTTGGTGGTTGACGACTACTCGCGTTACACCACGGTCTTCCCCTTGCGCAGCAAGGGTGACGTCACTGAGGTGTTGATCGACTGGATCCGCGCTGCTTGTCTCCAGCTCAGAGAGAGTTTCGGCTCGGACTTTCCAGTTCTGCGTCTGCACTCTGACAGAGGCGGGGAGTTTTCCTCTGCCCGTCTGGGAGCCTTCTGTCGTGCATAGGTCATCCGCCAGACCTTCACGCTTCCCGCCTCTCCACAGCAAAATGGGATTGCTGAGCGCCGCATTGGCATGGTCGTGGACGTTGCTCGTACGTCCATGATCCATGCGGCTGCTCCCCATTTTCTGTGGCCGTTTTCGGTTCAGTACGCAGCGCATCAGCTCAACCTTCAGCCCCGGGTCTCCTTGCCAGAGACCTCCCCCACCTTGCGGTGGACGGGGAAGGTTTGCAATGCGTCTGCGTTTCGGGTCTGGGGATCTCAGGCGTTTGCCCGCGACTTGTCTGCGGACAAGCTGTCCCCCCGTGCTGTTCCCTGCATCTTCCTTGGCTTCCCCCCTAACGCGCTTGGTTGGCAGTTTTACCACCCCACCTCGCGCCGTGTTCTGTCCTCCCAGGACGTCACGTTTGACGAGTCGGTGCCTTACTACCGTCTCTTCCCCTACCGCACTGCGCCCCTCCCTTCGCCGCCGCTCTTCCTTGCGCCAGGTCCTCTCCCGGTAGACCCTCTCCCCCCTCAGGG